CCGAGCATTTGCGCCTGAACTCCTGTTTCTGCTCATTGCCACACTCTCCAGCTTGGCCGCCCCGATTAGCTGGAAGAAGGCCTCCGCGGGGGACAGCCTTATATGGTGCGGTTGGCACTTTAATTTTCGCCTTGAAACCGTCGACCTCTGCGAAGCCAAGCGAACCAAGCTGTGCACTCAGCTCAAAGCCTTGCTAGCACGCAAGAAGGTCCCCAGGAAAGACCTTGAAGCCTGTATAGGCCTACTCATGTGGGCGACAGCCATCAGCAAGGTCCTCAGAGCGCACGTGGCGCCCTTGTACAGCGTCCTCAACAGCCCTCCAGGCAGCAATTGCTCCATATCTCCTCGGATGTGGCCAGCCTTCATCCATAGCCTTGACTCCAGGGGGATAGTCTGCAGGCTCGTACCCGGAGTCAATCTGCCGCTCAAAGCCCGCATCATCGAGGTCGGTAGTCGACCAGTGCACTGCAAAGCCGACCTCCCGCCACAGCCTAAATCTTCGGGTCCCACTTGGGTCCGCATCTCGGATCCTACCTGCCCTGAGATCAGGCTTACCAACACTGCCCAGGACAGCCTGCGCTGGCTCCTGCCACGCATTGAAGCCATCCCCACAACCAGCCTTTCGCTCCCGCCCCTGGTCTCCTGTCTGGCCAGAGCCGACGCAATGGCCGAAGGGGACCGAGTTGGCATAGGCGGCTGGATTACCACCAAGCATAGCATGGCCTGGTTTGCCGAAGCCTGGACCATGGACGAAGTCCGGCGCACCTGGCCTTTCCTTACCAAGGACGCACAGAAGTACATTGCCTGCTTTGAAACGTTGGCACAGTTGGCACTTGCCATGACAGCCCGAGAACGCCACGCCTTCTCGCACTTCTCGGTCTGCTTACCATCGCAGAGCGATAACACGCCCTCGGAAGCGGGCATCAACAAGCTTTTTACAACCAGCTGGCCGCTATCGATGTTCCTGCAGTTGATAGCCTCCTGGTCGTCCTGTCATGGTGTAGACCTCCAAGTGTCCCACGTCGCGGGGGCACATAACCAATGGGCAGACGACCTTAGCCGAGGTCGACTGCAAGCCTTCAGTCACCGACCGCAAGAACGCGTCAGGATCAGCGTTGACCGCCTGGCGTCCGCAGCCTCTCACGCCACCTGGTCCGCCTCGTCGGACAGAGAAAGCCCTTTGTTGCCCCGACAGGACTGACACAGACACCCAAGCCGCGCGGAGAGAAAAAAGCGCAGCCACGCCTTCCGCATGCCAGCCGGGTCAATCACTGCATTCTGACTAGCCGTGTATTACCTGCCGTGCTCAGGTCCAACTCCACCGCCCGCGGTGGGGGATACTTGCATGCTGCCTTACCGGTTGGATCTGTCCCTGAAGTGGGGGAGTTTATGCCTTGGCTAGCCCTCTAGACCTTGGCACCTCCGGGCTAGCCGCAGAGCCTCACAGATCCAATACGGTATAAAAGATGGCAGCAAGTGATAGAGCAGTGCAAGCCTTTCTAGAACGTTTCGTGTTTTTGTTCACGTATGTTTTAGAAGGCATGTGAATCTATAGCACATCGCAGCACTGGCTCTAGCACTTGATTTTCTCGAAAAGCCCCACCCGCCCACACCTAGGCTTGACGCGTTCGGCCCCGGCCTCAGCCTCCTGCATGGCCGTTCTTCGTTCAGCCTTGAACACACTAAGCTTCACAGCCCGCCACCGAGCCCTCAGCTCCTGCCGGTCCTCCAGCGAGGCCCGCTGCTCACACAAGTTGAGCCTGCTCCTCTGCCGCGGTGGCCTGCCTCAGGTTCGCCGTCTAGCCTTCCTGGCCTACCGACTTTGCCCTCTGCCGTGCTCCCTAGTGCCCTCACCTCTTCGGTTGCCCGCCCGAACCCCCCCTGCCAGGTACTACCGTCTACGTGCTCCACGACGTCTTCTTCGCCTTTCGCGTCCTGCACTGAACAGCCTTCTCACCTGGTCGTATGTTTCACGGAGCGCTCTTGTCCTGCCTCAGGTCCAGACGATAGCCTGTTGCCTTACTCAGTGCCCCGCCTGATCGGCCACTGTGCAGTCTTGCCTCTTCTCAGACTTTGAGATCTAGTTTCACGCTCCCCTGGAGCTTGCCTGCATTCTGCCTTTCAGAAGTTTCACAGACTTCTCACAAAGACTAGCCTTGGGGGAGTTTATGCCTTGGCTAGCCCTCTAGACCTTGGCACCTCCGGGCTAGCCGCAGAGCCTCACAGATCCAATACGGTATAAAAGATGGCAGCAAGTGATAGAGCAGTGCAAGCCTTTCTAGAACATGCCAGTTATATCTGTTACGCTGCTTTGCCGACCTGCTGTGCCCGTAGAAGTCCAGCTTCGCAGCTCGGACCTCTGTTCTTGGCGCTGGTTCTATCCGCGCGGGCGGCCTCGTCTTGATTTCAGATGTTCCTAGTTTCTTTTTTGGGAGCCTGGGGCACAGCTATTACTACCTTCTTGCGCGGGTCAGGGAGTTCCCCAGCAGCTAAGTGTCTTGCAGTGCCGAGTCCACACCGCTGAGGGATGACCACACAGAGCTGGGTTATGCCCTTCAGTTTTTGCAATTTTTCCGTAGTAAGGGCCTTGTTCGCAGCTTGCAGGGACAGGCTATGATGTTGCTTTACCCTCAGCCTGCGACAACCACCACATTGCAGCCATTGGGCGATCTTCCCACCGAGCTGCAAGCCCTGCTACAGTGGCTGATCCTGCACCGTCCAGGCGATACTGGCGTCGGCGGTGAAACACTGGCTTGTCGAGAGGGTCCGATTGGACTGTGTTGATGGCGACACAGTCGTGCATGTTGCTCTTCCACAGCCGGTCCAACGTGCCCTCCTGGACCTCCAATGAACTTTTACGGCTCCCTGTACCTATTAGGCATAGAATGAGGCCTTGAAATAGAACCCCTTCTTCAGGCCTAAGTATACTAGAAGGTTACATGGAGCCTTAGGGTGAGCAGCCCCGAAGGCCCTGAAACTCAAGTACAACCCTTACTGTACCCCCCTTAGAACCAGGATAAAAATAGTAGTTTTAATATCCTCTCGGGTTTTATATGGACAAAGATGAAGAAGTAATTCCTAAAGGGACTATAGCTTGTAGCACCCTGCTGAAGGCCCCTGTCGGAGCTTTTTGTTCCAGTTCAAAAAGCTCAGAAGCCTCGGACTCAAGGATTGAAGTGGGCTTTAAAGTTTGAAATGAGCTTTAAAGGAAATCTAAATTTGATTCTTGTGATTCAACAGCATTGAAGTTTTTTTTTCATCGCTTTCGTTTGGTCTCCTTTTCGTGTGTTTGGAATCAAAGGTCTGTTTGATTGGTCTTCTTCACAAGTGGTTCCGCGATTTGCCTTCTTCTCCCATTGGAAAGTATGTCTTGTGGTTTTGCAGTGTTTTATTTTGTTTGTTTTTTGCTTTGCACACCTGAAGCCTGAAGCAATTGCATGTGGCATCCTTGTTGTGGTTTGGCATTAGTTGTCATTTTTAGGTTTTCATTTGTTTATCTTTTTTTACTTTTGACACCCTGAAGCGTTTTCGTGTGGCTTTCTCTTGCTAGTGTGTTGGACGCTTTATATGTATTTCTCCGCGGCTCAAAAAGCGGTTTTTGTGTTTAACCTTGAAAAAAGTGGGGGTTGGGTGGTGTGCGCAGACCCCCACTTGCTACGTTCCAAAATCAACTTTGCTTTTCTGGTTTACCCTGCCTAAAAGCTATTTCGTGTTGCTTAAAACCACAAAGGGCGTACGTTTGGCTTTCGCCTTCTTGTCCATCGGAGAATACGTTTCAAACAGCTCAGAAGCGAACCCCTGTAAAATTCCGACTTTTGAGCCTGCTTGATTCTTCGTTCTGAAGGCTCAAAGCTCAAATCGAAGGGGTCGAATCTCGAGCGTGACCTTCGGTTCTGGAATGCTCAGCACCCTCCTCGGTCTCTCTCGCAAGGCCTCCGGGTTGGCGGATGCGACGTTGAAGTTGGTAGTGAACAGGCTGTGGTCGGCTCGACATGATAGGAGCCCAGCATTTCATCCATCGCCGCCTTGAATACTCGTTTCCCGTTCCTTCCTGGGCCCAGCCAGAATAGAAGTCTTCGAAGCCCGATCTGGCGAAGGTGCGAAAGGCGATGTGCTTGAGGGCATAGATGACGACGGCCGGTCGGCTCTCGCCCCCCTCCGCAGCCTCCGCAGAAGCGAAGCACCTGAACTCGGCACCGGAGGGACTCGTACTGCTCCAGGAGGCCAGGGGGTAGCTGTCAGCCGCCACACCCTCGTAGGTCAAAACCTGCTTCTCCTCAAAGGCCACTCGGTCCAAGAACTCGTTCCAATCGCGCTTCAGACCGCTGGCCTGATCTCAAATCATCGGCAAAGACGAAATACCTCCTGGTGTCATCCGCATCCATGCATGTGGAAAACTCAGGGTTCAGCAACTGCTTCATGAATGCGCCCGCGGCAGTCATTCTCCGGGATCGAGCAATCCAGTTGGGTATGATCTGGCGCAGGTTCGGAAGTAGCACTGGGGCAACAGCAGGCTCCTCTCCGGAACACAACGGCGCAGCGAACGCTCCAACGCGTGACCCCTTTGCTTGTTTGTTATGTTTGTTTTGGCTGGACTGGAGAGGCCTTTGCCTGGGTTCTGTAATGATTGCGAATGCATGCATTTTTCGACTTCGATTTCTTTGCTGATTTGGCCCTACTCCGTGTTGGAGAAAGGCCGTCGACGAATGTCATTGAAGATGGATTTCGCACAGCTCGTTGCACATGTTTATCAGGAAATTTGCAGCTGCACAACGCGAGAAGCTGTTCCTTGAGAGTGGTAGCATGCAAATATCGTGTTCCACGAATCGGCTTCGGCAATTTGTGTTAAGTGAAGAGATGGAGTTCGGAGCACAGCTCATTGTTTTTGTGTTGGCTGTGGTGGTTTCGACGACCTGACAATGCCCTGCTTCTGCAGCTTTTTTTTTCAGTCTTAAAACGAAGCAAATCAGCTCTGAGAGCTGTGTTAACGGACCAGCGCAATGGTAGCGTTGACATGCCGCTGGTGGCTCGCGGTGTGCAGCTTGGCCACCGCCGTCGCCTTCAAGGCATTTGCACGGATCAAACATGTTTTCTTGGCGGTTGCTTCGGAAGAGAGCTGTTTGTCTCGTGTGCTGGGCGTGTCTGCAGCTGTCTTGCATAAACTTTGGTGTCATGTGAACTTTATCCGACTTTATCCTTCATCTCCAGATGTGTCAGATATTCCCAGGTAGAGATGCCTTGATTTGCTTCTGAACCCCGCGTCTTGATCGGCAGGCATCCGAAGCACCGATGCAGATCGTCAAAACCGATAACGAGACCCTCAAGAAGCAAGTGGAGGAGATCGCGGCGAAGAACATGCAGGGAGAGTTCGAGGACATGAATGCCATCCCGAATCCTGCGAACTTCACGCTGAACGGAAGCATGCAAAATGCCTCCCAGGGTTTCTGGGCCGATCAAGGACACAAAGCTTCATTTACAGTACATAAGCCCTTGTCACCACTCTTGCCAAGGTGTTGGAGAGCTCGGGAAGAGCTTCGAGTTCATGATGCTGAAGCTGGCCCAGCTTGAGACGCTGTGCGAGTTGCAGCAGCTCGAGATCGAGTCGTTGAAGACGACTGTGAAAGGTCTTGCCGAACATGTGGATCACCCGGACAGCGTGGCGTCCTTGGTGCAGAAGGACGAGAAAACCAGAATGCAAGAGACCCAGCAAACGCTGAAGAGGGTGCTCGCCAAGCACGCTCGGCAGCATAAGACCAAGGAATTCCTTCCGACGCTTGCCCGTCAAGGTCGTCACGAAGCTAAGCCTGAGGCAGGAGGAGCTGAGCGATCACGGCGTGCTGACTCGTCTGGACCGTTCAAAGTGTCTTGACTCATCTTGCTCCAGCACGAATTAGTCAAACTAGTACTGCAGCGCGGACTTGACGAGCTTGGGGATGACGTTAGTTACATGATGTGCATTGTTGCAATGATGATTCAGACTTCGAGCTTGCTTCAACAAGCTTTTTCCTACTTCCGAACCTGCTAATTGTAAGACTCTACAGACAGAGAGAGAGAGAGAGAGAGAGAGAGAGAGAGAGAGAGAGAGAGAGAGAGAGCGGGAGAGAGAGGGAGAGAGAACCTGCTAACTCGACACCCAGAGTTCCTCCCAACAGCACCCGAAGCTCCAGGCCACGGGTCAGGCAGAGGCTATGCTTCTGCAGCGCGGGAAGACGACGAAAGCTGATACGGCATCCTTGGACAGTGCAGTCTCCGCCAAAGGCATCCCAATTTATGACGACGTAAAAGACTTCGCGGAGGACCGCATCGAGGCAAGGACGGGGGGTTTTGACCTGCCTTAGTTGCACCTGAATCCCCCATGCAATTGTGCAATGGCCATGCATGCCACTGAGAACCCAGCAAAAATGAGTTTCCGCAAAGTTCATACTGCCCAGACAGAGGCGGCTGAGTTGCGATTCTGTAGCAGATGCCCAGGGATGCAAACCTCAGATTGTCCAAAGCCCAACCTCTGAATGCAAGCACGAGGATGTCAAAAGCGTCGCTGAGAGCACGGCGGATGCCTACGAGGCAGCCGCAGACAAGGCCTGTGCTTCGGGATTTGGTTCAGGAATTTGAGGCTCTGGGGCTGGTCGGGTTTGGCGCTGCAGTAAAGGTGGCTTTCGTTGCCAATACGGTGATTGACACCGTGGAGATGGCTGTGAATATCCTTCTGAGAGGCTTCACCGATTGGGCCGCCGACTGCGACATCAGCGGACCCAGCATTCGGGATTACGTCGACGAATGTTCGATTACGGGCTACCGAGAAGAGAGGGGGATTTTTGGTTGGACATTCCGGATCCCCATAGTCGAGTGCAAACAAAAGAGTGTCCTGATGGCGCTTAACTGGGGCCGGCAGAAGTGTTGGATCCGCCTAATGGGCCAGCAGATTACGCTTTTTGACTTCAACTTTGGGTCCCTTGAAATGGCGTGGCCGGCTCCAATTAAAACAGCCATCGACATCGGCACAGGACTGAGTAACTGTCACGGTGGCAACATCTTCAAGTGCCTGGGTGACAAGATCGTTCCCGACATCACGTGGCCCCACCCCATTCAAAAGATGATCAACTTCGGCAATGCTATCGGCAATTGCCATGGTGGTAACGTCTTCAAGTGCTTTGGCGACAAGATCGTGCAGGTCGTCACGTGGCCCCAGCCAATTCAAAAGATGATCGGCTTCGGCAATGCCATCGGGAATTGCCACGGTGGAAACGTCTTCCTGTGCTTTGGCAACAAGATCGTAGAGAACGTGCCCATGCTCAACACCATGGTATCGAGCTGCAGCGGTAGGAACCTTTTCGAGTGCTTTGGCACCAACATCGTGGAGAAAGTGCCACCACTTAATGCCATGGTCTCCATGGGTCGCGATCTTGCCAGTTGCTTCAGTGGCACAGAACCTGTCCATTTGTTCAAGTGCCTGGGCACAAGGATCGCAGAGAACGTGCCTGCATTGGGCCGGATGGTCACCCTCGGCAAGGACCTGGTGAACTGCGCAGACGGTGCAGAGCCAATCGACCTCATCAAGTGCTTCGGCATGCGGCTCCTCCAGGAAGTCCCCCCTCTGAGCTTCCTGACGAGGCTGGGCGAGCTCTTAAAGGAGTTCCTGGGGCACTTTACCAAGTATGCCACGTCCGTCGTGAAGACTGCCATGGACAAGGGCCTCAGCTTTGTGCAGACAGCCGCGACGTCCGCCTTCCCGGAGGTGGGCGCGCCGCCCGCGGTGCACCACGCCGGCAAGAACCTCATCGTCAAGACGCATTCCCAGCCCGGGTACCACGGGTCCAAGGACCCCGGTGCCAAGGTGCCGAAGCGTACGGCGGTGCTGCTGCTCGGCCAGGAAAGAAAGCAACCCCCAAAAAATAACTGAAAGACTCTACCCGACTCAGTCTCTACAGCTCCCGAGCAAGAGAGCAGCAGAGGCAGACGGGCGCCAATGCGTCGCGGGCAGGCGGTGATGACGACAGTGATGCCGCGATCACTTTCAAGGTCGGACCCTATGGGCCCGAGACTACTGGGCTGATCACACAGCTGCTTGGCACTGTCTTTAGAAAGGGCCAGTTTGGGTGGGCACCCTGCTCGTACCATTTTGTCCCCAAAGACTTTTGGGAGGTTCCGAAAATGAGGGGTACCTTATTTTAGGGTTCTTATGATAAGGATCCTGCTATTTAGGGTTCTATATTAGTGTCCCTTATTTTCGGAAACTCCCTTTTGAACAAGCTTCTGAAGAGTCAGGTTCGAGGGCAAGGAGACAGACACCGGCTCCTGCCTGGCCTTCGCGCCACGGACCAAGACCGGCTCCGGCAACCAGGCGACCAAACCCTAAACCATCCTAAACCCGAAACCCTAAACGGCCCCAAGCTCAAAATTCGTAAAGGCGACGAAAGGAGACTGGGTGGTGGACAGCAACGACCCTTGCTGGATTACGAGTGCGATCTCGGCAGTCATGATTTTTTTCGCAGGTTTTTGAAGTGTTCTTAACCTTTCTCAGCAGCAAGCGAGGACAAGTTCCTGCAGCTGGAGCCATGGGCTGTTCCCTGTGACAACACGTGGATGCAGCGGAACTGGGACAAGTGGCAAGGTTACACTTTTTACATGTCGAAGTCGAACATCGAGAAGTGCGTTACCGTCACCTTCGCCGTGGGCTTGCAGCCCGTCGCGGCTTTTGTGGGCGGCATACAGTTTGATGTGCTTCCAACACCCTTTTTCGAGTTCGACACCCAAATTTGCTGGCCGAAGCATCACCCAGGCGGGGTGGACATCAGTGCCCTCCGCTTTGAAATGCGCACCATGGGCATCCTGCTTTTCGGCCGTACCTTACGCTTGACGAAGCGCTTCGGCGACGGCACGGACTTTCAGGGCAGCAACATCGATCGCGGGATTGAAACCTTCCGAAGCCAGCTTGGGCTGGAATGGGGGTCGGACTTTGAGAGTTCTTCGGGCATGAACAAGATGAGCCGCACCCCGAAGCTCTTGCAGACGAACAAGACCACGAGCCAGGACGAGAAGGCGAGAGCCTGTCCCAACAAGCGTACACACTGACATTGCGTCACCGTGCTTTCGCCTCGCAAACACGTGACACTCAGGCCGAAGAGGAGGGTGCCATGCAGTGGGTCGACGCAGAGGACCGGGGCGGGGCCTTGTCTGGACAAAGCCTAAACTCGTCAAGACTCGAACCCAAGCTGAAAGCAAGGAGCTGTATCTGGCATCTGCAGAGCCTCCCGGACTGCAAGGAAAGCTGAAACTTGAAACTGGCATAGCCGAATGGCCTTGCGACTGCCGACCTCACTGACATGTTGTATGCGGCGTAGTGAACCCCGAGGTATGGACCCGAACTCTTCGTCAACAAGACCTCCGAATTGCGCGGCCCGGCCGCGCACCGCCGCCTGAGCGCCCTGCAGCAATCCAAGGAGCCGGCACGGGCGGGCGGGCAGACAGGTTTTTTGCTGGCGGGGCTTGGCCCGGTTGTCCCCCCGAAGTGCCTTCGCTCGGGTGAGGGTGTCAAGGCTCGCCAGCGGCGGGCGCGTCACTGGACTCTGCTGGACTGTTGAACTCATCCCTGAGAGGCGTCGGTATAGAGCTCCAAGTCTGAAGATCCTGAGCTCCAATCAGGAGTCGCACAAGCTTTTCCGCTTCAAGCATCCTGGAATGGTCAGCTTCGCGCTGGAGGCCCGGGGTGGCTGCACTCCCCGGTGCGGGTTCGGGAGGTTGCGGTGTAGGAGTTCTTCAAGCATTGTGCTCTAAAGCAGGGGCTCTACACCGACGGGGTCCTGGAGCTGGGTGTGACTGGGACTTGAATGAAGCTTTCCACTGTCCAATTCTTTCTCCTGCTTTGACCCCTGTGGCAGCATGCGTTGGGCGAAGGTAACGGATTGCTGGTAGCCTGTCCTTGTCCACAGCTTTCTGTTCCAATCACAAAGAGCTGTTGGCTCTTGGCGGTGCGCACGGAGTGCAAGTTGTCTGCTGCCGGGTGCAGGCGCTTTTGCATCAGCCTAGTGCCAAACTGACCACCAGCTACACCCTAAACCCCCTCCTGCGTATGCCTCTCAAAGCCGCAGCTGCGAGTCTTCGGCCTTGAACGCTTCCCGGCTGGTTTCCACCCGGAACCTGCCCTCTGCTGTCGGTTTTTGCTTGGTGCTTCCCATAGGCGCAGAGTCTCCAGGCTCCCCAGCTCGGTTCCCTGAGTTCCGGGGCTTTGAGACTCCGCTTCCTTGCTTCGTCTTGCTTCTTGTTTTTTCTCTAGGCTTTGAGCGTTTTTTTGCTTCGGGATTTTTGGGACGCTGCTCAGGTGCAGATGGGCTTTGGCCCCTTCGAAAGCCCATCGACGAAGATTCCGCTCGTGAACATCGTCGACCAGTTCTCTTCCATCCTCAAGTGGGCCATTGCCCAAACTAGCCTACATAGGGTGTCGGAATCAAGCAAGGTTTTCTTAACTAATTGAAAATCACGCGGCAATTTCTGAAACACAGACAGACCCTTTCCCCTGCAGCCGTTAATTCCGCAGACAGGTCCCTGCCCTTCATCTCGTCGGGCAGCCGCGGAAAAGCCGAAGAGGCACTGCGCGACTTCGAAGATAAGAACGAGGACAAGTTGGAGAAGGGGATGGTGAACGAGGCAGGGCACTTGGGGTCGAGGTAAAGGGTACCACATAGGCTTTGGAGTTAGAGAGAGAGAGAGAGAGAGAGAGAGAGAGAGAGAGAGAGAGAGAGACAAGGAGAGAGAGTGAGAGAGAAAACAAGCCTTCGAAGGTGCTGTTTCAGCCCGCGGACCCGTCTTCCATGGTGGCTTGGTTCAAAAGCGAAGATGCCGGGCCAGAATGGCCGAGCGCCGTTGGCACCTGGAAGGGTCGTGTGACGAAGGGCAGCGTCACCGAAAAGGTCGAGGTTGGAAATGGGGCGAACAAACCTGTGCGGTACCTCTCCGGCAATACCCACGCAGGATATGACTTTGGCAAGGTCATGAAGCCGGACTTTACGATTTGTTCAGTCACCCGCTACCTCCAAGGAGGCAAAAAGTCCCGTATTCTCACAAACAAAGACCCCAACTTCGTCCATGGGCACTGGCATGACCGTGCTGGTCTTGCTCATTACAAGACTTGGGTGACATCGTACGATGTTCCGAGCAGCACCGATTGGCTTGTGATGTGTGGCAACAACAAGCAGGTTGTCATGGCCGGCAACGAGCGGCGGAATATCGCTACCGGACAGAGTGCCCTTCACAGCGCGGATTTCAACTTGTACATCAATGAGGGATTCGAGCAAGAGTTCTCCGACTTCGGTGTCATGGAGATCATCACGTGGAACCGTGCGCTCTCCGAAGACGAGATGTGGACCAGCATGGAGTACCTGAACTCGAAACTCCAGGCAGGTTGGCGCGTTCCCCCCTCGTTGTGTCCATGTTACAGTCACGTTGAACACTTGACAGCAGTTTTTCAGCCCACAGATTTCAGGAAGACTTCCTCGAACATAGTCGGCAGACCTTTCCTGTCCAGGGGTCATTGGTTCTTAGTCCTAGTCGGCTGTCACGCTGCCACGCAACACACTACAGTTCGGTGATCGCAGACTCGTTCATGCGGGCTCGGCGAAGGAACCCACGAACACGAGGTCCGATGTGCAGTGTTTGAGTGCAGCTTGCATCTGAGAGAGTGCAAGCACATTGCTGCACAAATTAAACCGACAGTGAGTGCGAGTCGTTACATGAGAGACACTGAGATCGCCACGCAAATCTGCCTAGGGTTGTAGTAGGCCACCGAGAGATGCGAGAGATGCTGGAGAGCCGGAGAGCCAGGGAGAAAGCGAGAGAGAGAGAGAGAGAGCGACGTCAGACACAGAGAGAGAGAGAGAGAGAGAGACAGGTTTCAGGGTTCAGTGGAAGGTCGAAGGCAGTGTCGCGCAGGGATCAAGTTTCAGTTCGGTGTCAGGCAGGGACCAAGGTTGGGGTACAGGCCAAAGGCAGGGACCGAAGAAGCAGTAGGAGGCACCCGCGGCACCTGCCATTTGTTCTCTACTTCGCTAGTTCGCTTTCGATTAGAGAACCCGGGAGCCTCCGCCTGCAAAGCTGAATTTCAAGTGGAGTGGGCACCCGAGACCTCGCCCTGTTACTCACACTCGTTTGTTGCTCAAATCGGGAGACCCACCCACTACACCCTGAATTTCAGGGGACCAGTCACAATGTACAGCCGAGCCCGTCCACAGAAAATAGTGGATGGGCTAGCGCACCCGCGCGGGGCGGGAGGACTGCTCCCGCCTCACACCCCGAGCAAAGCAAAGAGAGTGGAGTGAGAGTGAGAGAGAGAGAGAGAGAGAGAGAGAGAGAGAGTTAGAGCCACACTTTCAGGACAGAGACGAGCAGGCGAACAGAGAAAGCCACATCCAACGGCGTGGCCCACCGAGCATTCCGCACAGCAGTCGCACCGAGGTCCTGTATGTGTCGGTGGGGAAAGGCAAGTGGGTCGCCAGAGTGGAAGCACTCGGGGGAGCCCCCAATCCCCCGAGTAATCGGGGAGTGCCGCAGCGAGCGATGCTAGAAAGCGGGCAAGAGCTGTGGACCAGTCCTGCCTTTCCGGATGGCAGTATAGTGGAAATTGAGACCACGGTTGGACTGGTATACCTGCTGACGGTTATCTCCGCCCCGCCCAGCCACCGCCAAGAGGGGGGGACACTCGCAACAGAAGTGGGGAATGCCTACTTTGCGGAAGAGATCGACGGCGTATGGATGATACGGCCTGCAGGGGGAACACGCCATGGACCACCAAGGCGTAAATACCAGCCCCCGAGGACACAAGACGGCCGGGGCATCGGCAACAGCACCAACCCGGGGAGACCACAACGAGCCGCAGCCGCGCCCAAGGGGGAAGCAAAACAACGGCCAGCAAGCTCATCCACATCCAGCAAAACACCACCACTGCGCACCCCACTGCCAAGCCGACCACAAGGGGGGAACACCGACCCCAAAGCAGCAGCAGTTCCACCTCGGCAACCACAACAACAGCCGGCCAAAATCACAGCCACACCCAAGAACCCACCACGACCCCCGCCGAGCAAAGCCAGCTCCAGCACACAAGCACCACCGGCAGAACCGCAGCAGAGGAGAGGCGACACACAAAGTGTACCTCCGGTCAAAGCCACGCCACCACAACAAGGAGCAGACTTCATGGACGGGCGACCGCTTCGAGGCAGCCAACAACCAACCAGGCAGCAACCACCGCCACCACCACCACCACCCCACTTCTTTACCATCATCAAAGACAACAGAGGCATTGGTCGACAACCACCCGACCATGACCACGACCACACAGAGCTCTGGCAAACACCGACAAGGGAGCAGCTACAACGGTCCACGGCAGGACCCACAACCACCACAACCACCACCACAGACACAGAGGAGTGCGGAAGGGGGAACAACAGCAACGAGGAACAAGATGGAACCACCACAGATGAGGAGAACTTCGGCCTCATACGCAGAAGGAGACGCACCCCAATCGGGGGAGGCCGCAGAAGGGAAAAGCCAAGCCACAGCAGAACAACACCGGCAGCCAACCACAACACCACCGTCCCACACCCTGTGCAAACAGCAAGCACCATTGCATCCCTACAGGGGGCAATCACAGCAGTTACCACACAACTACAACTTATCCAAGAGATAGCTGACACGATGCAGGGGACAGATGGGCAAGTGATCTCAAACATTTGCTCCATAGCCTTAGCCATGCTCGCTCAAGACAGTGCCGCAGCCCTACCAACAATGCAGGGGGGAAGCATCCCACATGAAGTCGACGCAGGAGCGCTCCGGGAAGCCTACAGACAGATCTCCAGCATGAGAGTGCGCAGGGGAGAGGGACTCACCAATGAAGAGTACGCACAAGACCTGAGCTCAGTGCGAAACCTCTGTGAGATGGGGGGGAACGAACTACAAGCAGAACTACCTCCTCAAGTTCCTCCTGGACTACGACAACAAGCGGGGAAGGCCATGAACCAGGCGTACAACATGCTGGACGCGGTCATCCTACGAGCCATGGGGGGAGACCGCTCCTGGAATACCCTCAGCTGGTGGTCGGACCTTCAAGCCGCCGTACTGCAGGGAGCTGTGCTGGGAGAACAACAGACGATGACACAGATGCCAGCCAGCACACCACCGACCGGGGGAACCACAGCCCACCCGGCCGACGTCATCACCCTGCTCGAGCCGGGGACAAAGGAGTGGACAGCGCGCACCACTCAGATGCACTCCACGGCCAGACGCCTCATGGACGCCGCCAAAGAGCTCAAAGAGAAAGTCCCCTACATGGGGGGAGAAAGTATTGGAGCCGCTGTCCAAACCCTAGCGGCGCTCGAAGCATGGCAACAAGCCTACTTTGGGGGCACACATGCCGTGCATGACAGCACCCAGACAGGGGAAGAAGGAGAAGACGAAGGGGAAAGAACCAAAAGTGCAGCGCCAGCTGCACCCCACAACGACAGGGGAACCAAAAGGCGCTGGATCGGCTTGCAAGGCATGACAGAAGCCGATGCCATGGCACTCGAGACTGACAGCTTTCTCGCAGACCTGGGGGAAGTGGAAGCCATGGACACGCTGCCGCTACCGACCGCGCCGAACGTGAGCTCCGCAGATGCGGAAACACTACCTTGGCCAAACGCTGCCGGGGGGAGAAGCTCGAGCCCTACTACACGACCACGCAGTGAGGAGCCGGGGGAAGACACGGACTCCAGCCCGGCCTCGCACAGACGTAGACGGCTCCAGGCTGCTCTCTACGACAGACACGGCCCCATCTAAAGGAGGGGAAGCCGACCCATGTCGTAAGCTGACCGCAACTCTTCTGTTTGCCATGTTGCGCAGTAAGTAAGGGGGGATCAAGCCACAAAGCAACTGGAGCCAGTAGACACGCCAGTGGGGAACCCCAGTCGTCGTTACTGCATCGCACTTGTACTCAGGCTGTTGTTTTGGGGAAGAACAAGAGGGGGGAACCACCAGCAGCCTCCTCCAAATCATTGTTATATCGTCCTGTGTTCTGCATGAACTGGCATACGGTGTGTTGTGGGCCTGGCCCTTAACTACGTCGCAATGTAGAGAGAGGGGGCGGCTACAGTACGACTAACCTACAGGGGGAGTAGCGTGTGGTGCAGGAACTAAGGACATAGCCTAAGAGGGCGCGGAGGTGAGGCCGGGATGCGGGCATAAAGTAAAGGGTTGAGGGGCGGTTCTGCACCAAACGCTCTCTACCTGTTGTAAGTACCATTGGGGGAAATCCTCCACAACAGATCCCAATGCCTCCTTCCACCAACAAGGCAGGAAGGGGGGGGCCTTAGGCCCGGGTCTGCTCGCAGACTCAACCCCGGCAGCGAGCGAGCGAGCGAGAGAGAGAGAGAGAGAGCGAGAGAGAAAGAAAGATTGCACTGCTGTTGTCACTTACCTGTTTGTTTGGAAACGAGGGAAGCACCTTTAGCGGGGGAGTCTTGGCCATGCAGCGAAATCTAATTTTGTACGGCATCCTTGCTGTTGGTAGCCAGGGGGGGATGAACCAGCTCGTACTGTAAAGCTGAGCCCCCAAAGGAAATACATTTGGGAGAAACCAAGGACTACCCGTGAATTGCGGTTGCGCGTGTGCGCACGAGGGAAGGGACCTGGACGCTGTCCCGACCCTCACGCCCAGTAGAGAGAGAGAGAGAGAGAGAGAGAGAGAGAGAGAGAGAGCGGAGGTGACTTATGCTCGTTACTCACTCCCCCACGCCCAACAATACGTTGGGTGGGCATGATGCCCGGGGGACTTAACCGTCCCTGAGAGAGAGAGAAAGAGAGAGAGAGAGAGAGAGAGACAGACAGAGAGAGCGATAGTGATAGCGAGTTTTACACAGAGAAAGACAGGCACCTGCGGACCCGTCTTCCATGGTGGCTTGGTTCAAAAGCGAAGATGCCGGGCCAAAATGGCCGAGCGTCGTGGGCACCTGGAAGGGTCGTGTGACGAAGGGCAGCATCACCGAAAAGGTCGAGGCTGGAAATGGGGCGAACAAACCTGTGCGGTACCTCTCCGGCAATACCCACGCCGGGTATGACTTTGGCAAGATCATGAAGCCGGACTTTACGATTTGTTCAATCACCCGCTATCTCAAAGGAGGCAAAAAGTCTCGTGTTCTCACAAACATCAACCCCAATTTCCTCCATGGCCACTGGCATGACCGTGCTGGTCTTGCTCATTACAAGACTTGGGTGACGTCGCCCCATGTTGCGAGCAGCACCGATTGGCTTGTGATGTGTGGCAACAACAAGCAGGTTGTCATGGCCGGCAACGAGCGGAGGAATATCGCTACCCAGGAGGGTGTTCTTCACGAGACGGACTTCAATTTGTACATCAATGAGGGATTCACCGCAGAATTCTCCGACTTCGGTGTCATGGAGATCATCACGTGGAACCGTGCGCTCTCCGAAGACGAGATGTGGACCAGCATGGAGTACCTGAACTCGAAACTCCAGGCAGGTTGGCGCCTTCCCGCCCCTTGTGTCCATGTGTTACAGTCGTGTTCAGCGCTTGACACCGGTTTTGCAGCGCTGAAAGACTTCCTCGAGAATAGTCGGCAAGCCTTTTCTGTCCGGGGGTCGTTGGTTCTTCGTTTAGCATATTCGTCACCGCATTCTTCTCATTGCTGCACTCACGCCCGGGACTGGCCAGGTCGCGGGGCAGGCCAGCGGAGAGCTCTGGGTTTTGAGATCCCAGAACCCGGAACCCGAAACCCCCAACTCCAAAGCCAGGTCTGCCCAGGTCTTCCGATGGGAGACCGCTTCATTCAGCTCGGGACCCAGCTCTTTCAATAGGTCGTCGACGGTGCAGCCGGCCATACCCATACAACCTTGATATATCTTGATACATCGGTACTAAGCTTGCCTTCGTGTTTACCGATGCAAGAGCGTTAATTCAGGCTCGGGGAATGGCGACTGGGTGAGCATGACGAGAGCCACTTCTCCATCTCACACAAGGACAGCTGAGTGTCAAGTTTTCAGCTTGTTGTTCATTGCATGCTCTTTTCCCTGTAGCTCGGCTTCAGACTCTTGGGTCTAGCGCTTGCAGGGCTTCATGGTAGGTGAGGTTCAAGCCTCGGGCATTGCACAGGAAAGCCAACCAGCCCACACGTCAACCCTAAATATCATACCCCAAGCCCGAAGTATTGAAAACGAAAGCCCCTAAAGTCCTGAAGCCTGATACCCGTGTGAAATCTTCCTGATCTTACCCTGCAGTAATAGCATGGCCGAGTTGAACATTCATAACTAAGAGTCGTGACCTACGTACACCACCGTCGGCCCGCCTGCGAACCTTGTAGATCACGGCTTAACCTGCCAAACCCTACTTTGTAGGTTCCTAGTATAGATAGACCTAATATGGACCCTACAAAAAAGTAGGTTTTGGTAGGCTAAGGTACACCCTAGACTCCCCAAACATCCAAATCGCTCGCAGGATGGGTGGACGGCACAGATCTTCCGCAGTGACGGCACCCTTCACCCTGGCCCGCGCCGCGAGCCTCGGCTTGCCATTTCAAGTCGTGGTTTCGGGTTTCAGGGTTTAGGGTTTAGGCTTTTAGGATTTTCGGTTTTAGGGTTTAGGGTTCCAGGGTTAGGGCTATAAGGCTAGGGTTTTTGTTGAAGGTTTTGGGGTTAGGGCTTAGGGCTTCGGACTTAGGGTTCGCCAGCGCAGTGTGGCGCCCAGGCCAGCTCCCTTTATTAAGGGGGTTGCTTTAAGCACTAATATCGTCGAACCGGATGTTTTTAAACTGTTCGCTTCGAGCGAAATTCGAAAAAAGATTTCTCATGCCTCTGCTCGCACAATCAAATCCTCGCCACGAAAGCCAGAATCCTTCACCACAAAACCCCGAATGCCCGAATCCCTTTCCACGAAAGCCCAAAATCCTGCCCACGAACACGAAATCCCAAATCCCTCCCCACGAAAGCCCGAAATCCTCCCCACAAGAGCCCGAATCCCTCCCAACGAAAGCCCGTGACTCCCCACGAAAGCTCGAATCCCCGCTCAATGGCAAACCCCGAAACCCTTTCCACGAAAGCCCAAAATCCCCAACCGACAGGTCCTTCGTGTACCTTGATGAAAGGCGGAAGTAAATTCGCCTGAATTTCAAATGACGTTGCTTCTGATAGTCAAAACCACAAAATGCTCTGCTGGTGCACAAGGGCGCAGCCCCTAAGAACTTAATAGACTGTAGTTGGCTTCCCGAGAAAGCGCAGCTTCGGCGTGAAGGGAAAGGCAAGCAAGGCGCCGCGAGTTCGGCAACCGAAGCGGTGCTCCAAGAATGGGTAAAGGCGGATTTTTGCCTATGCTTCCAAGAATGGGTCTCACTGTACTTCTTAGTGCTGCTGCAGATACTACCGTACTAAGTTCCTACTACTATGAGCGTCCTGATAGCAACCGATTCCAGCTACGAACGTTCCTGCTGCGCAAATCCTTGCAGGAGCCGCTAGCGGAATTGCTTCGCAATGCTCCAGGCTATCATGAATTAATCCTGGTCATGTGATGCTCTTTGGGGAGTTTGCTTCAAGAAGCAAGCTCCATAATGATGTCCGGCTCGCAGCTCCTCGATGCCTTCAAGATTCACATCCCGAGCCCCCCACAACCTCACTGCAGATGAGGACTATGGGATCTGGGACAGACAGATCGGCAAGCCCAAGGGGATCAAGTTTGGCAGCAGCTGGGTCGAGGCACTTTGGGGATTTGAGTGTTTGCTCTCAGCTCTCAGCTGTACAGGGCTGCGCATGATGCGTGGTTTGGCTTCTGCTTGGACTGTTAAGTGTAGCTTGAGGAGTACCAGGCTCCTTGAGTTTAGGGCACATGCAACATCCACGGAGAGCTAACCGACCCTCTTTTGGAAAATGTTGTTGGCAGCCATTGCCCTAAACCTAGACCTCCTTGCTACTTGGTGCTAGCGTCGAAAACCGCCTCCCTGAGCCAAGTGCTTCGAAGAAGTGGACTGAAGCTTATCTGTTTGTCAGGTCTGGGAGTCTCCACCTGCCTTCATCCCAACCTTTTGAGCCATTTGTTTGGTGCTGAGCTTCCAGACCCAAAACCCCCTGAGCTTAATCTTAAACGTCAGCCAGGGCAAGCTCCAGTCAACTCGAGACCCCAACAGTCGGGGTTGAGGGATTATGTCGTCTGTAAAGAGTTGCGTGTGCCATCCGCAAGATCGGGGCCTTCCGCATCGGAACCATCGACAACATCCACTTGTCAGTCGCGCACAAGGGAGGCAAAACCGATTCTTGGTGAATTTTCAGCCCGAACCCTGAGACTCTCGGTGATTATGGGGGAGCCGTGGTGTTGTTTGAAGCCATCGCCGCTTCTAGCGGTCCTGCCCTGATATCATCGTACGACCTGTGTTCTTCTGCACTTCATCAACTTAGTCTTATCCTTTAGTGTTAGGGACATTCTGAAACAGAATCTTGCTGCTTGCTTCCGGGTGCTCCGTTGAGACATGGTGCGTCCGTTTTGAAGGTTTCGGCCAGGCTACGTAACGTTGTCATGATCGAAGTACCACTGAACCAGCATAAGATTTGGTGTTTCAGGAGTGTTCTCCTGCCGTGGATTTCAGGACGTCTGGTTTCCAGATGTCCTTGGCTCGAGGCGAATCCGCCCATGCCACCGAAGGTGGAGTGTCAACCTCAAGCCCTAAATCCAGACCTGGACCCTCAAGCCCTGAAGCTCTCAACCCCACCCCCACACCCTGAATCCTTAAACCCTTATCGCCCTGAACTCCCGAACCTCCGAACCCGAAGCCCTAAACCCCAAGCTCATGAGGCGCAGATCTTCAGAAATGATGGCCACTTGTTCCCGGGGCCGCGTGGAGACTATGGCACCTACGGAAGGCCGTCCGCACTCTCCGGGATCTCTGAGGGCGACCGCTGCTCAGTTTACATAGGGTGTTTACATAGGGAGCAATGCTTCAGGGTTGCAGGGTTCAGGGTTTAGTGGATTTCCTTTGTTCTCGGTGCTTCTAAGATTTTATGGTTGGAGGTTTCAGGGGTTGGGGGCGTTGGGGTTCGTCCAGATGTTCCCTGCTTCCCTTGATGTTAGGTTACCTCCAGATCGGCCAGTTCCGCCTGGGGGATGTCGATGGCCAGCACTTTACTGTGATCCACACAGGCCTCAGACGCTTGGCACCGCTTCAGTGTCGTGAATCGGTTGTGGCTTCGTAGCAAAGCTCGGGGTATTCGGAGAAGAACAGTGGAACAATGGCATTTGTTTCGGTTGTCTGATATGCGCGAATCCCAGGCAAGACGATCCAGATCTACAGGGGAGATGGCACGCTGCACCCAGGCCCGACCCAGCCACTCAACCCCAAACCCTCAACCCTAAACTCTAAACCCTCAACCCCAAACCCTTCAAATACAGGTCCTCGAACTGATTGGCATCAGCTCGCCACGAGGAGCTCGAAGCTCTGTGTCAGAGACCAAGATCCTGATTTGGGTGGTTGTCAAAATTATGGTCCCTTTCTGTTTTACGGCACCTAAATCTAGGGTACCCAAACAGGGACTATAATTTTGACAACTACCCATTTGTGTTTACAACGTCCTGGGTGCTGTTCTGACAAAGTCGCAGTTTCACAGATGCACCCCGGCATCCTTTATACCTCCTCTTTTGATGAACGTCCTCCCTGAGGCTTTCGGAGTTTTCCCATAGGTTTTGGGTTTAGGGAATTTTTACCCATAGTTGCGGTCTTTCCGCCCCCCCTCCGCCCCCGCCCCCTCCACCCCTCACCTCCCCCGCTCCACTGGCCGCTTCTTCATCGTAAAGTCCAGCTAGGGGCTTTGCAACTTGGGTGCATCCGAGCTCGTTGTCGCGAATTTTTCGTGGTTCGAGTCAAGATGCTGCTCCCGACCTGAGTATGACTGAGGGAATATCATATTCTGTAATACGGATCTTTCGGGCGTAAATGGCATATGAGGGGTATACCGCAGACCTGAGGCTGGAACGGCTACGAGTGCTGTTTGTAAGCCTGAAGTGCAGGACGGGGGTTTGGGATAAGAGCATCTTCCCTTGCTCCGAGGACTAATGACTGACGACTGAGCCGGCTGACGCGAGGTTCGTCTAGGTGTGATCGGCTGAATGGAAGCAGCTGCATTGCCGTGCCCGTCTCTACCTCCACAGTACGTTTGCTAGAGCAGGGGAAGTTAAGCGTGGGCGCAGCTCTATCCAGTGTAACGGACTGCAGCTGTAGGACGGCGGGTTTCGTTCAGCCAGCTTCACTTACTCCATGTTACGTTTTTCAACTTGTTAGTGCTCCTTCGAGCTCCTTTGTGAGCTCTGAAGTTCAGAAATTAAGAAGATGAACCTGTCTGCTCACGAGTGAGCCGCCGAACCCAGCTGCTGGTCGCTACAGGAACCTGCATCTCCGGTTGCCGATTGCTGTTCCGACCCATAATACAGTTCTTGCTGCAGCTGTCTGTTACCCACATCATCAACTCTATCATTGCAGCAAGCTTGAGTGGTTGAGTGGTCTTCCGGTTCGTCTGTGCGTCTTTCAAGATATCGATTGATTTGCGGTTCCGGCCCTATGTCGGAGACCGACCGAAGGCGGATTGGTTTATCGGGGAAAAAGTCAGTTTTCCAGATTGAGGCATGCTGTGCATGTTCCCTCGACTCGGGCACCGGCATCGCCATCATCATCCGATGACCTGTGCGCAGAGAGCCTGCACAGATGACTGTGACTTATGGGTGTTGTATCGCCGGGAATAGCGATGTTTTGGTTCGGTGTCAGCGCTAAAGGTCGCGCCGCTTGCGTGTGCATGATAGAGGTGCAACGACATGTATGCAGCAGTGCCATGTTGAGAACGAAGCTTGAGAAGCCGGAGGAGCGCCATCAGCTTGTTACCGGACTGTCGGGCGCACCAAAGTCCATAATCCAAGGCAGGTTGCATTGCAAATCCACTGCATGCGGAAGGAGGTCCCCAAGGTCTCACGTTTAAGACAGACTTTCATACATATGGACCGACAGGGAGTCTGTCCAGCCCAACTGCGAACTGCAAGAAGGGCGAATCACACAGACACATTTGCACCCCGAAAGCTAGACTTACCCCACGGCCCGATTGAGAACAGATTTGTCGCCTAAAGAAGCGATTGGGTCTGCTGTCGCTTCTTGGCTTCACAGTAACAGGGAGACACGAACGCATGCCCTGTCGCAATGCAACCGAACTCTGCATGTCCTGGCCGTATGCATGCTTGGGAAGCCGGTTGCTAGAACATGCACAGGTTTTGTAAGTCAACACTCGGGACACGGTTCTCTTGACCAGGCGTGATGTAATTCTTCCGCTCTCCAAAAGAGTTTGTGCTTGCCATAGACACAGCCTCCCTTCCGTCGCCCAATACTTGCGATTGTTGGCGGCACCCGCTTGGGCAAGCAGTCCCTCTCGACGTCGCCCTCCTCGGGCTATGAGCCGAAAATGTCAATGCCCCGGTGCAAGTGCTTTGAAAGCATGTTTCCCGAACAACCGTTTATTTGGCTGGAGTCCTTCTCGGTCGTCCTTCCGCCCGCACCAAGCATTCGTCGGCTGATCTTTCGTGACGGCAAAAGGTGAGGTTTTGGCTGCCGCCGCAATGAATGCCAGGAATTGTTTGCTTGGACCAGTGGGTTTCGAATTTAGTGTTTGAGGTGGAGTTTAACCTCATATCGAACTGCAGTGTTGCGCCTTCGTCCTTTCTGCTTTTGTTCTAGTTTGGTGTGGTTTACGTATTCCTCTATCAGGCGAATTTGCATAGGTTCTTTTTTGTTCTATTGAATCTATTGTGATTGTGGTTGTCGGTTTGTTATTGTTTGAACTCATGTACGTCATCGTCGCGGTCGTCTCACTGCAACCGACGTCGCATTTATGATTCAGTTGCATGCTCCGCTCTCCCGGGAGCACGCGACGAACGCACCGGCATCGGTGTCGTGCGATCAAGGCATCCCTCTTGCGGCACTTTGAGACACTGGGAATGTCAATGTACTACTGCATACACATTTTTCGAAAGGTTCAGTGTTCGTCAAAGAAGCATGCCGATGTCTTAAGCCGACGCCATGCGTCGTCGCTCTGGCTTATAGCGCCCAAGGGGCCTTGATGCTCAGTTCTTGTTTGCCCCAACCGTGCACTGGATTCTTCGCACTACTGTTCATCGCATTCGTATTTACTTCAGTGAAAGGAAGGCATCATCCCGCATAGACTTCGTTTCCAGCTGCAGGTTGGCATCTATTGTATTGAAAACTTGTCACGATACGACTCCCTAGTCATGGTGATCATGAACAGCAGCAACTCAACCACACATTCACCATTCAGCTTAGTTATTCCACGTCTAGGGCTGCTGGCCACTGGAGCCAGACATGTTCGGAGCAACAGGCTCGACTGTTTGATTGAACCTGGAAGATTCACAGGTGGCTGCGCGCCGATTGTAGCATTGCTGTTGCCATTGACACGAGGTGGTTCACCCTTTGGGGGAAGCAGCGGAGGCACAGGTTCTGGGCCCAGTTCGTCTTCAGGACGGGCTTTTGATTCTGCGGAGTGTGACCAGCCAGGTGCAGGCATCTTCGGATCAAGCGCCTCCAGCTCGCTTCATTGTCTGGTTTTCACCATCGAAGCGTCTGGGTTCTGTCTGCCAGGCGCTGGCACTGGGTCGGGCCCAAAGGTTTGCACTGTCACTTCATCGTGCATACGGGTCTGTGACACCATCGGACCGCGGAGTGCTCTTCCTCATCGATGATCGGTCTGTGTGATTGTCAGGTCGGGTGCCGGCGGCTTGTTCGGTGCACCAGCCGCAGGCGCACTTACAACAGACCAATCGTTGCACCAAGCCTCTGTCGTGACGGTGCCGCCTTACGGAATATGCTCTTCACGCAGTCGGTGAACGGAGCTTGCGCAGGAGCGTCGCTTTTCGGCGGAAGCAGCAGCAGCAGCGGTGGTGGCGGTTGGCTGCCTAGCCAGGGATTGTTCTGTATCATGCTGCTTGACGCACATCTTAGTCTGGCAAGTGCACCCGGCACTGGGATAGCGTTGTTGATTTCAGCTGAGGTGTAGGAATCTTTGGCTCCAGCGCGCAGAGTATAGCTGGCACGCTTGTCACAGCGACGCGATTCTGTTTTTTTCAGGAGGTTTCAGCGCCATCAGAGCTTTGCGACCTCCGCATCAGGTGCATCCAGCGGAGCGTTACCCGCGAGCGGGTGGCAACCCCAGGCCGCGGGCTGTATGTGACTCTGCTGATGCCTGCAGCACCGAGGGCTTCTGGCAGCCTCTTTGGCGGTGCGCCCGCGACAGGCTGACAGGGTTGCTGACAGGCTGACAGGGTTGGTGTCGGACCTTGGAGCTGCCGTGAAGAACCATCCGACAACCATATCTGACTCCTATGCTTGACGTCAGGGGTTTGTACGTCTGGCCCTGCTATCGGAAAGGGCTTGGTGGACAACATGGGGTGGTAATCACTTACCCACAAAGACCTAAATCCTGCATCTAAATATCTCCTCAGAGCCAATCTGGTCCGGAATTGTCCCGACATATGGCCAAGACTAAATTCATTGGTTCGCTGCGCATCAGTTGCGGTTTGGGCCAGCAGGTTCAAGTATGCCAGGGTTTCGCAACCCTTTTGGAGTGTAACTTTAGGAGGTGGGCTCAGTGTGGCTCGCGGAGGAGTCGGTAGGCTCGTAAGGTTTATGTGCGAGCCGAAAGCTGAACCCACGAAGGCTGAACTGTCGCACAAAATTAATTCGGAAGTTGACAAGTTTTAATAAGTATTTCTGTATTCGATCCTGTGAGAAACGGATGGATCAGACAGCACACTGACCACAAGCCTTGAGGGGAACATGGGCAGATCTGCGAGAGTCCTAGGTCCGATAAGCATGTGTCCACCATGGCTGCCCTCCAGAGAGTGCAAAGTCTCAGTGCTCGTTGGCGGGTGCTGATGCATCTGCTCAGCCGGGGTGAGACCATCCCGGCGAGTGTACATTTGCCCGTGCACCTGCATCACGGTACTTCCGGGGAGGCGGTGGTGGTGGCTCCCTCTTCGGAGGCGGGGGCGGCGGTGGCAGGAAACTCAGTCCTTCGTAAGTTGTCTGACGCGGCCTTGTGGTGAGCTTTGTGTGAAGAATCGGCTCCTGCGGGGAGAAGCACCCAACCCGGTGGAGAAGCGTGTCTGGAGCCCCTAGGCGCAAGCCTCTTCGGGTCCAGCGCGTCCAGTGCACCCGGCATGTTCAAGCCCACCTTGAACTGCTGCGGCAGAGACTGCGTGTGGCTGCACTAGTACGGCAGCGACTTTTCATATGACATGTTTCTGCAGTTTGCCCGTCAGGCAGTGCTGCCGGACTTTCCAGCGGTGGGCCACGGCCCCAAATAGGGCTTCCGGGCCACAGCAAGTAGCCATTCCACGTCGGCAGCAAACTAAGTAAACTCGAGGTCCGCCGGCGGCAGCCTGTTCGGAGGTGATCCGTCGACAGGCCTGGGCGCAAAGTTGTGGACACCTGTATCAGATTCGGGATGCATCCTTGCGATCATCCAAAACATGCTCTAGTGCCAATGTTCTGCGAGCAAGACATTTAGCGCTGTCAAGATCATGAGTAAGACATTGTAGGCACCTCTTCACGCACTCCACGTGCTGACATGGCACATGGTTAGCGGGTGCTTCGCAGTCAGAGACCGCAGTACTTCCGGGGAGGCGGTGGTGGTGGCTCCCTCTTCGGAGGCGGGGGCGGCGGTGGCAGGAAACTCAGTCCTTCGTAAGTTGTCTGACGCGGCCTTGTGGTGAGCTTTGTGTGAAGAATCGGCTCCTGCGGGGAGAAGCACCCAACCCGGTGGAGAAGCGTGTCTGGAGCCCCTAGGCGCAAGCCTCTTCGGGTCCAGCGCGTCCAGTGCACCCGGCATGTTCAAGCCCACCTTGAACTGCTGCGGCAGAGACTGCGTGTGGCTGCACTAGTACGGCAGCGACTTTTCATATGACATGTTTCTGCAGTTTGCCCGTCAGGCAGTGCTGCCGGACTTTCCAGCGGTGGGCCACGGCCCCAAATAGGGCTTCCGGGCCACAGCAAGTAGCCATTCCACGTCGGCAGCAAA